TGTCATAGAGTCAAATCTGTCTCATTAGCTATTTTTCAATGGCTGAAGTTGATGCTATAAAAATCTGGTAATAGTGAAGCAAAGAAAAATGGCTTATTAATCGAAATCTTCTTTACCACTCCCTAAACCAAATGATATTGAAAATATCAGAATCTTTATTAAAGCTTGTTTCATCGAAAAACAATGGACAACAGAAAATATACAAAACACACATCAACAAACAACTCCTACCTCTCCACATTTTCAACCCCCTTCTCCAAAACAAAGTAAATCACCTCTCTCTCCACCTAAATCAACTATTAAAACTAGATTAAGTATTAATTCACATCAAACAAATTTTTTTAATTTATTGGATTCTAATGTACAACCACATTCTACAGTATCAGAAACTGTCCCTACTTTTGACTTTGTTCAAACTTCTTCTACTTCTTCTACTCAACCAATTTCACAATCCCCTTCTATTCAACCACAACCTATTATAAAGAATAAATATGATATTTTAGCACAAATTCAACTAGAACAACAACAACAACCATCTTCAATAACTACTAACTCTGTTTTTGATTTTGTTGATTCAAAACAAGTTTCTCCTCAGTCTTGTATTCAACTCACTAATCCTCCTCCTCAAAAACCATCTCAACAATTCCAAACAACATTTGATTTCAATCAATCTTCTTCTCAACCAGTTGTGTCTCAATCAACAAACAAACATGAACAAGTATTTGACTTTGGTCAAACAACATTTGATTTTACTACAAACAATCATCCAAAGGTTACTCCAACAAATACATCGCCATTCACTTTTGACAAAAACTCATCTTTCAATGAAGCATCAACCCAATCACAACAACTACCAATTAAGGTTATCCCTCCAAAAGTCAGTCCTCAACATAACTCTATTAATAATGACTCTTCTAAAGAAATCACCCAGAACCCTTTAAGCAAACCTCAAACACCAGAAACATTTGACTTTAACTCAAGTATTCCTAAACCACAACCTGCTTCTGTCATTAGATCAAGAACAAACACATTTAATTTTGACCAACCAAAACAACCTTCTACAAATAGTCAAACATTTGACTTTGGAGAGAATTCTTTAGAAGAAACGAAAGGCATACAAGAAACAACCCCAAAAACTAATGTTTTAACAAACGAACAACCAAATGAAACAAATCAAGCACAAAAAGAAGATAATAAAAAACAAGAAAAAGAATCTAGTGTAGAAGTTAAGAAACCATTAAATTACAACAACTTGTATGACATTCTTGGTGGGATTAATGAAGAACCAAAACAAGAGGCTAAAACAGAAATGGGTGGAGTTAGTCATCAAGAAGAAACACCAGAAAACAAACAAAACAAAAACATTAAAAGACAAAGTTCTGAATTAATGGAAATTGATAGCACATTTAATTTTGATAATAAAAAGGAAGAAGAGTACGTCGATAATCCATTTGGTGAAGTTAGTGATGATGAATTAAAAGAAGTCGATATTCCTACGATGAAGTTTGAATCAAACAATAAACCAGCAACAAATAATCTATTCTCATTTGATTTAGATGAACCAAAAAAAGAAAATCAAAACCTTTTTAATTTCGAAGAGTCTGCAGAAGGACCAACCAAAGAAGTTGATGACTCATTTGTTACAAATGAAAATGAACCATCTGTAGATAATCCATTTGAGTCGAACAATACACAACCAAATAAAGTGCCAAATCTCCCAGAAGTTGATAATCCTTTTAAATGTATTGAAGAAAAACAAAACAGTCAAAGCCCAGTTGTAGTAGATAATCCTTTTGATTTTACTGATTCATCTAACCAACTTAACCAACAAGACCAAATAGTGGATAACCCTTTTAACTTCTCAGGCAGTGAAAATGCAAAAGAAGAAAAAGAAGTCGACAACCCATTTGGGAACTTCGAAGAGTCTAAAAGCGAAACATTACCAGAAATTGATAATCCTTTTGAATCTTCATCAAACGCAAATACTTTGTTCCAATTCTAATTTTTCAATTAAACACCTCTTAACCTCTTTTATTTTTATATTCAAAAGAAACTGAAGCCTCAATTAAGAGTATATTTTGATATAATCGGTTAAAATTGTTGTGGATATGAAGGCGGTAAATATCCAATTGGTTTTGGGGGAATAGGCATAGGTTGTTGTATTTGATTAATGTAAGAAGGTTGTTGAGAAATTGACTGATAGCCCATTGGGACTTGATACATATTTTGAGGAACAGAAAATTGTTGGGGGTACTGAGAAGAGTGTTGTTGGAAAGAAGGGTGGCATTGTTGTCTTAGTGGTTGAACAGGTGGGGATGGTTGTTTAGAAATAAGTTGAGGAGAAATAAATGATTTTTTTCGTGAAGTAACTAACAAACGTGTTTGTTCATCCTTGAATTGTTCGAATGAAACTTGGGGTTTCATGAGATCATAGAATGCTTTCCAAGCAATATTCGCTTCAGCCAACTAAGTCATTAATAAAAGAAAATAATTACTAGAAAAAACAAACAGACAAGAATGGGATTGATCTTTGATAAAGAGAAGGAATAATATCAACACGATTTAGTTTAAGCATTGTATCTATATACTCTTTCCAAATTAACCACTTCTTTTTTTCCTAATAAAATAAGTAAAATATGAAATAAATAAAATTAAAAGAAACAAACACCTGGAAAATCAAGTAGACCATCATAAATTCCAATGATTTCGTTAGATTTTCTTCTTAATGAATAATTATTAATATAAAGAGAACATATTTCTTCAAATTCATTTAATAGTTTAGTGTCATAAGAGTCATAAAATTGATTAAATAAGTTATCTAAATCAACAATATTAAATTCTGTGTTATAATTTATAGTTAAATATAACCTCATTTTAATTAATTGCAATGAAATGGGAAGATACTGAACGTGTAATTTTTCCTTTAATTGTTCAATTTTCTTTAACATATTAATTTTTGTTGGTTGGTCTGAAGAAAGTAACTTAATTTTGAAATATAATGACCATAATTTACCATCTATATCTAATACATTTAAGTCATTATTTTGTGCTAATGCTAAATGAAGGTTCATTTGGAATCTAATGCTTCTTTTAATAAAGAGTTGTTGAATATTAAATTGTTGTAATTCTGTGTTTTGTTTCTGTGAATTAAGGAAACTAGATAATTTAAGAATACTTTTACCTTCACGTCTTAACCATTTGTAGATAAGGTCGAACTTAAATGGGAACATTTTGATTATTAACGAAACAACTTTCTCTATGAAATAGAAGAAAGAACCAAACGTGATAGGACAGATATCAGAGAAAATGTTTTGTTTAAGCCTTTTATATTCTGTTTCCAAGAGGTCAATATAGGTTTTGACGAAAGGACTATTTTGAGATTGTCCTTTCGTTCTTTTTTGTACCAACAACTTTTTACCATGTTTGAGTTCTTGATAAAAAATTGTTTGAATCTGAATTTCATTAAATCGCATTAATTGTTTTGTTGGAGATTGTTTATCAGGAATTGGTGGATAGAAGTCATGATAAATAGAAAAGAGTTGTTCTTTCTCTTTTATATCAATAGTATTATTAATCATTAATTCCCAGAGTTTATTCATATTTGGTGCAAGTCCAACTTTTTCAACGATGTCCATTAACAAACTTGGAGGTAAATAATGAAATGATAGTAAAATATTAAGAATAAGAAATAATAAAAATAAGAATCAACTTCAAGGAAGAATGAACTCATAAGATTAAGAGGATGTTGAAGAAAAATAGTTGTAAATGCAAAAATACTCAACCACTCAATCCTCTCTTGTTTTAAAACAAAAGAAAGTACTTTGAATTTGACTCTTTCTTTTTACTCAAATAAATAACAAACTCTTGCATTTTGTGAGGAGCAAAATATGCTTGAAATACACTAATTTTCTCAATAAGATATAGGGCAGTAGAAGGTGTAGGTGGGGCTTGTAATAGCCAGACCCATATAACATCTAAAAACTCATTAAACCCACGAGAGAAAGATAAATCGATATATCTAACGTGTCATTATATCATTTATAAATAAAAGATCGCTAACATTTATAAAACAAACAATTTCCATAATTTAGAATGACAGTATAATGGATATTTCCCAATAACTTGATTAAATAAATTTTTCACAACATCATACTGGTTGTTGACAATAGAGTACATGTACTGTTTATATTGAGGAAAGTTACCTGAAAAATCTTGGGTTAAGAGTTGTATAAAGTTAGTTGATAAACTCATTTTCAGCTTTGGAACTAGTTTATTTTGTTCTTTTTATTTTTATTATTCTTAATTATATTTTTTATTATTTATATAGTTTTCATTAATTATAATAAATTTATAATAAAATAAAACTATAATGAGAATTAGGTTTAATAAGGGAAACTGATGAATCTGAAATAGTCAAGATGTCCAAAGTCTCAAGCGCTGTTTTACGTCAAGGTGTTGCTACTATTCTTAAAGAAAAGAAAGACAGAAAATTTTGTTGAAACTGTAGAACTTCAAATTGCCCTTAAG